TTTCGTACAAATTATTTCGTATTAAATAAAAATGTAATTTTTCAATCCCGAATTTAGTCCGCACACCATTTGTTTTCGAACGAAATTCGTTAAAAAATAATTTGTTTTCGTTTGTTTGGACGAAAACAGCACTGCGCATGAGCAAAAAAAAAGCAAGGAGGGAGCTGGCAGCACTACCAGCTCCATCCGTGTAATAAATAACTATTCCTACCCCCCCTGAATTAAAACCTATGGGGGTCACTATGACCCCCATATTAATAAAAGGGAAGTTAAATCCTCCCGCATGCCCCTACACGCGGCATGGCGTTTATAATTTGTGTGTCCAGCTTTCGTTTACATTTTAGTAAACGAATACGAAAAGAGCTGAATTTTCTGACAAAATTGTATTAGTACGAAAACTAATGCACGTCTAATTTTCAGGCTTATTTACTAGACTTGTGCACAAAAGCTTTTCAGCTAGTATGAATGAATCCAAAGCAAATGATCTTTCTGTCAATTCAGCTATGTTGGCATAAAAAGTTAAATTTCAGTGAAGATTTTGCTAATTCATGTTTTAGTGTGTAAAACTCCAAAAAAATTATTCACTAAGGCAAATTAAAATAAATTGCAAATTTAGCAGAACTGGAAACAAATCTATATTGAAGAATTTTTTTAATTTAGCTATTTTGTTTTATATTTTGAAATTCCTTTTAATTTACTCCAAATTTCCAACAACTCACACTTTAGTAAATTACCCTGAAGGTGTCTACAACTTGTCTTTCAAATAAAGTTTTTAGAAACTATAACATAGCTGTAAAATTATAACTGGTAAATTCAAGCTACCAGAGAGTTTAACATTGTAACCTTTTAGGTCTTTAAAAAGAAAAAAACAAATGGTGTGGGGACAAAAAATCTCCAAGTCAGTTATTAACTAAAGAAATGTTGGTTGCTGAGTTAGCATTTGCAACTAAATTATACTGATTAGCTTGGCTAAAACGGGGTCAATCTTGAAAAGGACGCAATTTCCTACTACGTAAGAGTAGCAAATCAGCTATTACCAAGGATGATCTTGTGGCTAACCTGTCTAACCAAGCTGGTGTAATTCCTCTTGTCAAGATTGTGTGTTTTGTGCTCCCAGTGTTTTCACTTTAATAACTAAATAGTGTCAATGTCTCCAGTGGTAAAATAGCCTAATACAATTAGGAACTAATAATAAATACTAACTAAAATTTAACTTGGAGAAAACTTGTGGAAAAAAGTTGTGGAACCTTCACCGCTCACACATAATGGTGTTGGGGAGGTAGGTAAAGTCTTGTGCTTGAGGTTCCATGCTTTAAAAAGGGCACCCTACACAATGGCTCTTTTGATTATTTTTTAATTCTTTATTAAAGGCAGATAGCACAGAGGTTACCAACCCAGTCCTCATATACCCCATAGAACAGAAGAAAGGGATCAGCGCTCTCTATCTATACAAAATACAACAGAAACAATAATAAATAAGTAAAAAGTGGCAGCACACCTAAAAAGTAGGGCTCCCTCAGAGGCCTTACAACAGAAATGGTACAGAAAAAAGAAAGGAAGGCAGCGCCACTATAAACCACATAAATTAAAAGAGCACAGAATAGGCAGACTAGAATACAATATATATGATAGATACTAAGCAAATAGAAGTCCAGAATAAATAGTCTGACTGGTAGATGAATCAAACAATGAGGTATATATTTGTAGAGGTGAATACAGTCTTTTGTAGTGGGGGATTCTTCAGAGTGGTGTAGATGCGTCTTTGTACATCATATGAAATGAGAAAATAACAACTGATGGTATAGTATGTCCCGAAAGGGGTAGAAGCAATAAAAGAGTATATGGTCCTACTCACGTTTTCAAGAGCTATGGACTTAGCTCTAGTGTTGATAACGTACAGTGGTATAATCCCCACTTATGGGATACGTGAGGTCTTAGTATTCTTTCTTGATTAGGGGACCATATGTGGAAATAAAAGCAGGAACAACAATGGTGCTCAAAGTATAAAATGCCAGAGGTGAGAAGATAAAAAACCAAGTGGTTACTCACATTTAGTTGAACAGACTGACTGTTCAATGAATACAGCTTGAGTAGTATAATCCCCACCTAGGATTCTTGGGAGTAATATCCTCACTGGAAAGTAAAAACACTTCTGTGCCGGATAAAAGGATGGTAGTAGGGGGCGGAGCTTGACTGCCATGCAGGCTATACGTGTGTTGCTAGAGCTCCCAAGTCTGGCTCTAATTAATGAGGACTACACCCGGTCCACTCACCCTAACTGACCGAAACCTGCAGCCTTTATGCTCCAGGATCGTATCTACGCAAGGGGATACCCGACATAAGGCTAACCTTTGCTGAACCGCCCGACTCGAGACCTGGGGCCTACTAGAACGGGAGCCGTGGGGAGACGGCCGCTCTCCCAGTTCCCAGACCGACGGTGAGTTCCTCGATCGATGCTGTTTCCCCCCCTTTGGACCGGTGGGGGTTATCCCGGTCTCCACTGACCTCCTCCGCACGCCCAGACTGGACGAAACCTGCTAAAAAGGAACAAGCATAGTCCACAGCTACAGCGAGCAATATGGCGGCCAGGCTGACTTGGCATGAAACCACGCGGCTGGCGCCATACCCGGGGAGCACACTAGACACCCTGACTCAGCGCATAGACGCAGCCTTCGATCGCTTCTGGATGAAACTGGAGGCTTATACTCAAGCGGAGCACGCCCGGGGCCGAATTGATGATGGGAGCGGAAAGGAACTGGGCACAAGCAGGCTCCCTCAGGGCGCAACTAACACACATCAACCAGTACCAATAGATGCTGGCCCTCCTGGGCTGAGAGCGCATAGGGAGGTACACTCCCGGCATCACCCACAGAAGCGGAGACTCCGACGCCGCAGGCGGCAGGGAAACACCAGGAGCTCCAGCGGTCCCCAACGGGGGAAGGATCCGGACTCTGAAATGAGGCCCCGAATCCGTGGAACAGAGATGCAAGCCCTCATCAGAGCCTGGGGCTGGAGGGACACTGACTCATGCCCCCGCCTTCCACCACCACACAGAGGCTATAGTGGGCCTCCGAGCACGGGTGTCGGCTGAAGCTAGACCCACTCTGCGGGACTGGCCCCCAGCCACGTTAGGCTGTTACCCACGAGGCTGCTACCGCCGACCGCCACTATAATGCCATCAACTTCGGGACATGAACAATGCAGGGTCTACTTAGCAGCCTCCATAAGGCGTGGGTATGCGGGGACTCAGTGGCTCATATACTCTGTATGTTTATACTTTTGACTCTCACAGTTAAGCATTTATTTTCCCTAGCACGCACTGTAACGTTAACATGCATGTTGTGCGTCCACTCAATGCTCCTTTAGCCCGTTGGCGCATGCTTAGACAACCTACGTGACCCAAGTATGCATACTAATGCAGGAACTAGGTTATGCTACCTGAGTTAATCATTACCTAACGTAGTATAGCGCTGTATGTTAACCAATTTACACTCTTCATTTATAAGCAAAATATACTAACCTGTCTGCACAGTCACCATTATATGCATATATTGACGTTAGAACGGTATTAAGTTTAACTAATATTACTCAGTCGACTAGCCTCAAATTCTAGCTGTCTAAACACATTGCACAACATGCTCACATATTGCAGTCACACTGGCTTAACTAACCAAGCATCGTAGCATTTTGTGTACCTAACTAGCTCAGGTGTAGGCTGGTTTTGCTTATGTTCAAACGCATACTTTTTGTCTTAAAAAAAAAAAAAAAAAAAAAAAAGGAGGGCATTACTAATCTGGAAATGAGACATATTACTGATGTATTAATCCAAAACTCTAACTCATTCAAACATTTTCTCTGTTTTCTCTTCTGTACCCTATCTCATATGCCTTAAATAAAAAAACAGATTGACAAAAAAAAAAAAAAGGATGGTAGTAATAAAAAAGTAAAATAATAATAGTAATAAAAAGTCAGATGGCTAACTCACAGTAAGAAAGTGGCCAAAATACCTTTATTTAAAACAATATAGTTTAAAAAACCACAACGCGTTTCGCCCTTAGGCTTTATCAAGTGGAGATCAGAAAGTACATCCTGTTACATACAGGTTTATATAGGCAGTAAACATATTAGAAAATGGCGCCAAAATGATGTCATAATTTTTTTTTTTTTTTTTTAAAGTGCTAAATTTTATATGTGTAAGTGAGTACATACCTATATGTAAAACATGTGATAGTTTAAAATTTAAATTAAAAACAAGGTTTTATACTCACAATACCTTGCATATTCTATTTAGATACAACAGTCACATGATCGGTGGCCATTTTTTTTTTCAAAAGTGCTAAACTTTATATGTATCAGTGAATACAAACCTATATTGGAGACATGTGATAGTCTAAAATTTAAATTAAAAACAAGGTTTTATACTCACAATACCTTGCATATTATTTAAATAGAACAATCACGTATATAAGTCACATTGTATAAATATGTACTTCATGCACAAAATAATTATAAAAGATAATAAAATATAAGAAATATATTATAAAAAATTAATTATAAAAATTATAAAAAATTAAACAGGTCGAACTCTACATTAAGACCTTCGGGGGTAAGGGTTTTTAAAAGGAACACCCAGTGCATTTCTTTTTGTCCCAGTAATTTTTTGAGGTCACCTCCCCTCCAGGGTAATTTACATCTTTGGATCCCAGTACATTTTAAAAATGTAGGGTCTTTGTTGTGTTGGATAAAATACTTTGAAACAGAGTGATTAGGGTAGCCTTTGATAATATTTCTACAATGTTCTGCTAACCTTATTTTTGAGGTTTTGTTTGAGGTGAATTGTGTTGTCTTTGATGTGCTGTTTTGGTCAGTGGATCTGCAGACAATGCATCTGTTGCATTTGAAAAAAATTTTAGTAAGCATTGTCTTTAGGTTTGGGGCCCCTCTAAAAATGATATGGGGTTTATCTGGGATGAGTGTCTTTAAAATTTCATCTTGTTTTAAAATGTGCCAGTGTTTTTGAATAGTTTTTTTCACAAAAAAACTATGGAAAAAAACTATTCAAAAACACTGGCACATTTTAAAACAAGACGAAATTTTAGACACTCATCCCAGATAAACCCCATATCATTTTTAGAGGGGCCCCAAACCTAAAGACAATGCTTACTAAAAATTATACAAAAAAAGCCAATACAAGCAATCCATCATTTTTATCAAATTCTAAAGGTTTTTTTCAAATGCAACAGATGCATTGTCTGCAGATCCACTGACCAAAACAGCACATCAAAGACAACACAATTCACCTCAAACAAAACCGGTATTACATACCCTATTAAAGACTTAATATGTTGCACTACTAAGAATGTTGTACCTATTGGAGTGCCCATGTGGCCTCCAGTATGTGGGTATGACCACACGATGCTTAAAAATAAGGTTAGCAGAACATTGTAGAAATATTATCAAAGGCTACCCTAATCACTCTGTTTCAAAGTATTTTATCCAACACAACAAAGACCCTAAATTTTTAAAATGTACTGGGATCCAAAGATGTAAATTACCCTGGAGGGGAGGTGACCTCAAAAAATTACTGGGACAAAAAGAAATGCACTGGGTGTTCCTTTTAAAAACCCTTACCCCCGAAGGTCTTAATGTAGAGTTCGACCTGTTTAATTTTTTATAATTTTTTATAATTTTTATAATTAATTTTTTATAATATATTTCTTATATTTTATCTTTTATAATTATTTTGTGCATGAAGTACATATTTATACAATGTGACTTATATACGTGATTGTTCTATTTAAATAATATGCAAGGTATTGTGAGTATAAAACCTTGTTTTTAATTTAAATTTTAGACTATCACATGTCTCCAATATAGGTTTGTATTCACTGATACATATAAAGTTTAGCACTTTTGAAAAAAAAAAAAAAAGGCCACCGATCATGTGACTGTTGTATCTAAATAGAATATGTAAGGTATTGTGAGTTAAAAACCTCGTTTTTAATTTTAAACTATCACATGTTTTACATATAGGTATGCACTCACTTACACATATAAAATTTAGCACTTTTGAAAAAAAAAAAAAAAAATTATGACATCATTTTGGCGCCATTTTCTAATATGTTCACTGCCTATATAAACCTGTATGTAACAGGATGTACTTTCTGATCTCCACTAAGGGCGAAACGCATTGTGGTTTTTTAAACTATGTTGTTTTAAATAAAGGTATTTTGGCCACTTTCTTACTCTGAGTTAGCCATCTTACTTTTTATTACTATTATCATTTTACTTTTTTACTACTACCATCCTTTTATCCGGCACCAGAAGTGTTTTTGCTTTCCAGTGAGGATATTACTCCCAAGAATCCTAGGTGGGGATTATACCACTCAAGCTGTATTCATTGAACAGTTAGTCTGTTCAACTAAATGTGAGTAACCACTTGGTTTTTTATCTTCTCACCTCTGGCATTTTATACTTTGAGCACCATTGTTGTTCCTGCTTTTATTTCCACATATGGTCCCCTAATCAAGAAAGAATACTAAGACCTCACGTATCCCATAAGTGGGGATTATACCACTGTACGTTATCAACACTAGAGCTAAGTCCATAGCTCTTGAAAACATGAGTAGGACCATATACTCTTTTATTGCTTCTACCCCTTTCGGGACATACTATACCATCAGTTGTTATTTTTTCATTTCATATGATGTACAAAGACGCATCTACACCACTCTGAAGAATCCCCCACTACAAAAGACTGTATTCACCTCTACAAAGATATACCTCGTTGTTTGATTCATCTACCAGTCAGACTATTTATTCTGGACTTCTATTTGCTTAGTATCTATCATATATATTGTATTCTAGTCTGCCTATTCTGTGCTCTTTTAATTTATGTGGTTTATAGTGGCGCTGCCTTCCTCATATACCCCATACCAGTCCAGAATTTAGGGATTACCCTGTTGTGTCTAAAGTGTTTTTTTTTTCTAAAAACACCTTAGATACAACTGGGTAATCCCTAAATCCTAGACTGTTAGGGGGTTCTTGAGGATTAGGTTGGGAACCACTGGTATAGAGCAATTCAACAGCCAAAAAGCTAACATGAATAAGATTCGCCATTTTCAAATTATACAGAAAAAAATTAAAGACAAACAAGAAAATAAGGTGGTATATCTATTTATGAAGCAGTTTTGTTATAGATCATGCCCCTACAGTCTCGCAGTTTACAAGTTAAATCACTTGCATCCCTGCATGTAACCGGCAAAGTCTTTCTAAATACTTCCCGTAAAATTAGATTTGGTTTTACACTTCTTTTATTGCAGTGTCTGTATAATTTAGTATTAACTCCTAAATGGCAGAGAATTGAAGAGGCATGATCTATACCAAAACTGCTTCATTAAGCAAAAGTTGCTTTGGTGACCATAGTGTCACTTGAATTTATAAAAATCATAAATTCTATTCAAATCTGCACTTTTTGTAAAATGAAAACACAGAACACACTCTTCTTCATGCAAAATGCACTTCAATAAAATGAAGTGCATTAAGATATCATTATCGTTTCCTGTAGGGCCTGAGAGATTAGCCTGATCATATATGTCCTAAACCGCAGAGTAAAAGGTTCAACATGATCTATTTTAAGAATCATGGGCAGATGTAACCTTGGATGATAGGCCCCCATACCAGCTAAGCAAAAGCTCACTTTTCACCTTTCCAATCAGTGGACTTCTTAACTATGTCTGCCACCAAGTAAGGTTGTACATCATATATTTTCTGAAGAAGACCGCAATATTGTCTTTGGATGCAGGAATAGTTGTCTGAACTTTATTAGAAGAATAAGCATTGGTACCAAATACAACTGCTATGATGATACATGCCAGATCGCCTAGAGGAGGCCTGGAACAGTGGTGCAGTCACATGGTCATAACGTTTTATTGTTTGAGATTCCATGGTCCATAAAGGTTATACCAATGTGTTTTTTATAAAAAAAAAAAAGTGTTTAGATGGCAGGATGATTTTCAGCTATAGTTGACCCAACATTGTTACAGAAAAGGACAGACATGGCCTTTCAGCACAACATTCAGACTCCACTCCCCAGTCCACCTCATTCCTTTTTCCCCAATGTACGGTGAAATTATGAAGGATAATATAATATCCAGCAGAGATAAGAGGAGCCTACAGATACCCGCTGTCCTAAATTCACAGTCCAGGACTGTGGGGGCTACGGAGAAGGAGTTTTCATGGTTAATTGGAAGTCTAGAGAGAACTGATTCATACCCATTGGTTTCTTCACATAAGCTAAGAGATAAATGCGTCAAGCCTTTACTTTTCATTATATCCATTGGACTATGCAGTTGCTGTCCTATCCCGTGTTCCATGCATGTGAACAAACATATTTATCCTTAAAGGGACACTATAGTCACCAGAACAACTACAGCTTAATGTAGTTGTTCTGGTGATTATAAAAGCTCCCTTCAGGCATGTTCATGTAAAGACTACCTTTCCAGAGAAAATGCAGTGCTTAAATTGCCCCTAGGGACACCTCCAAGTGGCCACTCTTTAGATGTCCACTGGAGGGGCTTCCTGGCTCAGGGCTGCACAGTAAGCAGCCCGGCCGTTCAGCATCCCCATGTTCTGCATGGAGATGCTGAATTTTCCTCATAGACATGCATTGATTCAATGCATCTCTATGAGGAGGTCCTGACTGGCCAAAAGGGCATTTGGCTACGACCCCGTGCCGATTTTAGCCAATCTCTTGTGAAAGCATTGGATTGGCTAAAAATCTGCAATTCTGATTATGTCACCAAGGGGGCAGGGCCAGCACCAACTGACCCGCACGGTTTTATTAACTTTTAAGGGGGATAAGGGGTAGCAAGCCACCTAAATGGTGGGTTTAGCACTATAGGGTCAGGAATACATGTTTGTGTTCCTGACCCTATAGTGATCGTTTAAAGTACACCTTCTGGCACAATCACTACCCAACCTTTAAATCCAAGTACAGTGCCTAAAGGGTGTCCAACTAAAGGAAAGCCAGTTGGCAGACCATATCTTCCTGAAAAGTCCCTGAGGGGCCACTTTATTTTTTTTATATTGCCCAAACTTAATTTTATGGTTTTCCCACCCCCATGCAAACATGTTTTGTAAAGTTGTTCTGAGCAAATATTTAGTTTTAGCTCTATTTTCAATGTGCTTTTTATGCTGAATCATTTAATAACATTAAACATTTTGTTTGTATAATATGCATCATGTATTTGTAGGAACACAGAACAATCTGCGTAACTGTATACAGTTTATGAGTTCAGTAGACAATGTGCATTACTCAAAGTTAAGTGACCTGGTGGGATTTTGAATGTTAAAAGCTACAGATGTATCATTTTTCTAGGATTTTTAAAGGGACACTTTCATGACGTAAAAAAAAAAAAAAATACACGTTGTGCCTTCAAATGCTTGTATAATGTAAAGAGTATTTCATTTAGGGAAACATGTATAATACATTCAAGCTCTGTTTGCTTCTATTATAGCTTGATAACAATGGTTTTGATTCGGAAACATTTATATAAAGATAGATTAATTAGTTAAGCATTAATATGCCACAATGTACCTTTTGATCAGGGATGGATTTCCTTTTAGACAGAGTATGCACGTGCCTATAGGCACATGTTCACTAAGGTGCACCTGTTTTCAGCATCTCTGATAGGCCTTTTTGGAGCTTAAAGGGGGCACTATAGTAGCCAAATCAACTTTAACTTAATGAAGCAGCTTTAAAATATTGATCATGTCTCTTAAATTCCACTGATCAATCCTCTGTTATTTAGGATTTTAATCACTTTTGTTTCTATTTAGGTTGCCCTGTGATTCACACAGCCTGAGTGAAAAAAATAGTTTAATTTTCAATCAGGTGTTAGCCTTCTTTAGGAATTTTTATCTCCTGCTCTTTAAATTGAACTTTAGTCACAGACAGTAAGCTCCTGCAAGCTATTAACATAACAGTGCAGGAGATAAGATATTGTAAATTAAACAGAATTTGCAAATAAGGATGTGTATATATTAAATCACTCTTTACAGGAAGTGTTTAGGAAGGCTAC